CTGGACACGCCATTAACGCAACGGCGAGCTTTCGTCCCGACACAGCCGCCATCGTCGACATCGTCATCACTCTCAACATCACGACCCTACAGCTCCAGTTCATCGACGTTCTCCACCGCCGACTCAACCTCCGCCGCTGAGCAAATTCTCGACTTCGGGTCTCCACCTGCACCGTCGGCGCCTTCAATGTGGAGCTGATATTGCAGAATTTGGCCCCAATTTCAGAACTTGGAATGTTCATTTCTGAGATCCCCAATTTCAGAACTTGGATAACGAATTATTGGATTTAGGGTTAGGGCAATTTTTTGTAAATATGATAAATCAAAAGGATTTATGTGCAATTTTAGATAAATTCATTATATATCAATTAAGTTCAGGGGCAAATATGTAGTTTAATGAAAAGTTAACAAATACATAATTATTATAGGAAAAAATGCACATTATTTGGTATGAAAATGTAAAATAAAATATACAACTTTGATTGAAATTAAAACAACTAACATAACCGAACAAACTATATGAAAATATTATTTTTTATTATATATATATTATTTATTTTCAATAAATGATAATATAGTATTAAATAAAAAGTATAAATACTAAATTTATTTTCATAAAACAACATGCAAGTTGCACATTATAAAACAACATGGTTATTATCTAACTATTTATTATCGCGCTTTATATAGCAGAATATTGCATTTTATAAAACAACATGTTGCACATTATAAAACAACATGGTTATTATCGAACTATATATTATTGCACTTTATATAGCAAAAAAATTGCACTTTATAAAACAACACGTTGCACCTTATAAAATAATATATTTTAAATAACCGATCGAACAATATATTATCGCACTTTATATAACAGAATATGCACTTTATGAAACAACACGTTGCACCTTATAACACAACATGTTTTAAATAACCGATCAAACTATATAAAAACAAATATTTTTTTTTTTTATATTTTATCTATATATTTATCATTTATTTTTCATCAAACAACAATATAAACTATCAACTAAAAAAATTACTAACACGAAATATATTTTTTGCTATAAGAAAATAATTGTAATTCTAATGAATACACATTAATGTTAGACTGATTGCACATTAATGTCTTCGTGATTGCACGTTAACGTTAGACTGATTGCACATTAGTGACTGTCAGATTGCACTATATCGACCGAACCCGACTACACATTAGACTGATTGCACGTTAATGTTAGATCGATTGCACATTATCGACTGTCACATTGCACTATCGAACCCAACTGACTTGATTTTTTGTATTTGTACTTATGTCGGATCGATTATATGTGTTTATCTTTAAAAATTGTAATTATTTCGGTTCGATGTCATTTTTTATTTTTTATTACTAGATAACCAAAATAATCGAACCGACCAAATCATATAAGCAAATACTATTTTTTTTTTATTTTTTGTTTATAAAATCATTATTTTTTAAGTAAAACAAATAAAATGTTAGATAAATATTAATGCTCAATTGACATACCACCTATTTATTTTAATTATTTACAGATTTAATAGAAATACAATTATAAACATATATTAAATTTTTGAAAATTGCACAAAGGCCCCTATAACTTGTCTAATTTCCAAAAACCGGTCAAAAAATGTCCCAACTGTCTGCTACAAATCTGATTGCCGGAACCACCGTCAAACCACCACCTATCCGCCAGCCTTGTCATCACAGTCCCATCAACGATGAGGGCAACAATCGACAGCAGCCAATCACGATCCGCTGGCCCGATTAATAAGCCTCAAATCACAACCACTAAAAAATCCACCAAATCGTCACCACTACCAAATCCCCCGCCCGCCGGAGTCCCCATTAGGCCATCCCCACCGCCGCCAGTCCTCCAAAACCAAATCGCCTCCACCGAGGACAAAAACAGAGATTCAACGCATACACCTTCTCCATCTTCATCGGACGTCGTCAGACGATTTATTTTCGATCAATACACTAGCGGCCGGTGATTGCCATAAGGTCGCGGCTAGGATCTTCACGCCGGCGAAACTGTTATTCTCGTGGAGAAAGAAGTATTAAGCGACGCAGAAGAGAGATAGAAATGGTAGGTGGGGGAGAAAGAGAGAGGAATGGTAGATCAGACGTGCGAAAGGCAAGAGAAAGATGAGAGATAATGAATGGGTTGGGATGTTTGTGGAGCCCACTGGATTTGTGTTCACACGAGAAATTACGCCTACACCCTTTGTCATGGAAAATTTGCCTTAATTTTACTCAGATATTACGAATATGCCACCGCCTAATTCTGCGTGGTCAACATCCGTGACTCCATCTTGACCGTTAATCTGACAGATCTTATGGTGTATATTTATTCTAATTTCCTTCACTAGAAACCATTCTCATATGATCCTTTACCTATATATATATATATATATATATATTTATGAAAGGTGTTTAAATTTTCAACTTTTTTTCTCATTAATTTTAGATTTTAAAAAAAACAATTAGCAAGCATCCGTGTAATACACGGGAGTTGTACTAGTTTGAATTAATTGTTGGACCATTTAATCCTATGCCATGTAGATTAGTTGTGTTAAAATATTGATGTGGCATCGTCCGACAAAAATAAATGTTG